TTACTTTCAAGTTGTCCATCTGATTGCAGATCGTTCTTTAAGGATGAGGGAATCATGCTCAAGGCAGTATTTCACTAGTTAAGCTAAACTGTTGCTGGATTTGAAGAAGACTTGAGATATTTGTGGTTTTAGGGATAAGGATTATCTCAGGACAATAGTTTCAGGGGGAGAGATTCCATTTTTCAATCATCATATATGTATATTTATTTAAATCTCCTGCGTTAGTTTATATTGGGATATAATTCACATATTACACATTCAGTAGTTCAGTCATATTAAGAAGAGTTGTGCACTTATCACCACAGTTCTAGAACATTTTCTTCCTTGCACTCATTGCTAATAGCTCATTTTCCCCCAACCTCTCCTGTCATACCCCCCAGAAACCACTCATCCAGTTCCTGCCTCTGTAGATTGGATAGTAATAGATTCATAATGATGAGATCACAGCTGTCTTAGATACTGATGAAAAACCTTTAAACAAAGTAGCAATCTATAAATACTGGTGGTGTGTGTCAAGAGCTGCATTCATGTTATTTCACTATAACGAATTTTAAAATATGGAAATAAAATGTTAAGAAGTTATGATGCCATTTTCAATAGTAGTAAAAATAAGCTTAGCCAACAGTTCCAAGTAGCAGATAGGGACAACGGGCCACATGCCAGGCTGTGTCATCAGGGCGAGGGTGGGGTCTTGGGTGCTGGCTGGTCACGGAGGCAAAGTCACTGCACCGAGAGGGGATTTTATTCGATGGGTTTATCCTGAGACTGCACCGTCCTTTAACCTCCGCATGCCATAGACTCCTCCAGAATCTGTTGCTCCCGCCGGCCTTTCTTCTCAGGGGCCTTCTAGCGCGTTCGCTGTCTCGGAGGCAGCACTGCACAGTGCGGATGGTCGACAGGGACTTGGGCTGGACCTGTAACTTGTGTTCACTGGGCTCTTCTGTTCCCTTGGCTAACTCGTTCTTGAACCACAGCAGTCACGATGGTGGCTTTGGGCGTCGCCAGAGTCTAAATTTCATTCAGTCTGGTTTCCTCTCTACAGCCGTTCCGCCCACTAGAACGCTCTGGGATGTGGGAAATGTTCCCTTTCGGTCACTTTAATACAGTAACGACTGGCTATCAGGGCTGCCGCGCACTTGGAAGGTAGCTTACTAAGCAACGGAATCCTTATTTTCCTGCTTCAACAGAGATGGAAATGGCTGCTGTAGATGGACACTGGCCAGCCTTTGTTGGCCCATGATCGGTTTCCCAGGTGGGTGCCTGCCTTCTTCCCTGTGGAGGGCGGCCACCTTCTGTTCTCCGTCCCCTTCCCAGAGGCTCACGGTGAGGGCCGCATGCCTTATGCCGTTGCTCTCAGGTGCCACGGAGTCGGTTTCCACGCACGGAGGACTTAGTGGCAGAAGGAAGTGTTGCCCAGGCCTGTGCCAGCCTCACCACCCTCGTACTTCCATGTGGCAAACCCAGAAGCTCGGAAGCTCTTCTCTTGGGTGACATGGAACTCCTCATCAGAATTTGCCCCAATTCAGTTTTCCTTTTTCTTTTTCTCTGCTTAGTGAGCTTCAAAGAGATCCATTCTTTCTGTATTGTTGTCTTGCAGAACTCATGCTCATTTTGGTAATTTTCTTCCTTGTTCCGAAAACCTCTTGTCAGTATAAACCATTGCCTGTGTGCAATCCTTCTGGGAGGGTCATACTTTGGACACGTTACCAGGAGGGACCAGCCCCTTGAGAAAAGATGCGGGGGGTGGTGGAGGGCCCGTGACAAAGAGGGAGATGGATGGACACTGGGGTTGCAAAGATAGCCGTGGATCTAGCAGTGAGTGCAAACCATGCCCAGGCGCAGGCAGTGTTTTGTGCGGCTGGACATCTCGTGGGCCCCAAATGGGAAGGGACAACAAAAGCTCCAGTTTGGTTGGGAGCCCCAGCCGGGGGTCCACATCGGCCGCTAACCTCGTGATCAGCAGTTTGAAGCCCCCAGCCCCTCCCAGGGAGGGGGGGGTGAGGCCTTCTTACCCTCTGCAGGGTCCGACCCACAGGGCCCTGCTCTGCCGTCTGTCTGGTGGGGTTGTTGGAGCTTCTCTTGAGAGACTTCTGAGTCTCTGTGGCCCCTGGTGACAGAGGTGGCAGGTTGCTACATCCGGGGGCTTTTTGTGTCCCGTGCCCTGGGACACACTCGTACAGCCTTTTACAAGTAAACTGGAAGAAGACTCCGTAGGCCTCCTCTGTGTGCCCGTCACTTGGCTTTTCTGCTCTCCCAGCCCTGGCTCTGCCGGAAGCTTGTTGGGAGACCGTGGTAGGCAGGCCTTTCCCCCTCAGTGCCCGTATGGCATCTCCCTCTGGAGGAGGCTGTGGACACTGGACCAGATGACCCTGGATGCACTGGCATCATCTCATACTTGCTCCCGTTGAGTTGCGGTGACTGTATTCAAGGTCAAAGGTGAAGGCCACCTTCTCGCTGGCTGGTTTGGTAGCCCTGTTAAGGGAGGACATTCTGCTCCACTGAGGTGGCAAAGCTAGGTGGTAGGCTAGTGAGCACACAGCCTGGCTGCCAACTTTTACAAAGCATGTGTCTTTTTGTGCTCAGGTAATGCCACTGTCCCCTGGCAGTTTCTTCCTCGGGACGGAGAGGAGAGGAGCAGCCTGTCAGTAAATGAGGTGGGAGGGCAGGACATTGCACGCTCACCTGTATTTTAAAGTCTGTCGGGGGTAAAATGTCACTTTGGGTGGGCAAAGAGCACGTCAACGGACCCCCGAGGATAAGGCCAATCCACCCGTTTCCAGAAAACCCCGAACAAATATTCCTGCTTTCACCCTCAAGGCGGACTGGACTTGGCCATCTCCAAGGCTTACGGTGGTACGACGACATCAGGCGACAGAAGATTGTCCTCCTCTTAGGGTGTCCCAGCTCTGATGATGACCAGGTGACCTTGACAAACCACTGCCTGTGCTAAGCGAGACCACATCTCCGTTTCTCCTGCTTGAGTATTCAAGGAAAAGGGAGCGGATGACGAGGATACGATGCGCTTTCAGAAATGATGATGGAGCGTAATGGATTTTTCCTCCCATGACCAAACTGTGCACTTCAACTGTGCTGTCCACTTTGACTCCACATTTGAGTAGAAAGTAGGCCGGACTTGCCCAGGAGAACAGACGGGAAGCCAGGTTCTGAGGGGCAAGAATTCATTCCCACGAGCAGGCCAGGCTCTCTACCTTGATGTTGCGTGTTCTGGTTCTGCCTCCAGTCAAAATAGGGTCCTTGGTCGGGAAACAAATTGTTCCTGTGTGTTCACACATCATGGAACTAATAAATGTTGACTGTTTTGTAAAACTCGCTTTTTATTATCACCACGTCTTCCAAGTCTGTAGAGTTCATGACCTGTGGATACAAGCCTCAGCTAGCAGCTAGTTCACGTGGAAACAGATGGTGAAGCTGGATCACACGCTTTGATTATTGGGAAAAAGAGAAACCCTCTTTCATAACCAGGAGAAGGTTTGCATATATGTTTAGCCCAAACACTGTGGGTGCTGCCGTCTCAGGAAGGGCTTGTGTTCAGAGCTCTGAGATGCGGAGTTTGAAGTTAGGGCTGCCAAGTGCCTTCAGTAAATGGATTGATATGCATCGATGTGTTGTCGGCATTCTCATTCACATTTCTCATCTTTGATTTTTGTTCCCAGTTGTTCGTCCATATTATGTTCTCAATGGAATATCTCCTGGTAACAAGGAGAAGTGCTGTGTTGGGTGCCTTGCAGCCGATTCTGATTCATAGCGCCCCCGTGTGACAGAGTAGTGCTGCCCCAGAGGGTCCTGAAGGCTGGAACCTTGGCTGGAGCCCTGCTGGTGCCGTGGGCTAGACCTTGGGCTGCTAGCTATCGGGTTGGTGGTTCAAACCCACCTGCTGCTGTGCTTGTCCCATAAAGACACACCATCTCGGGAGCCCTCAGGAGTGGTTCTACTCGGCCCCGAGGTTCGCTGTGGGTTGGGAGTGCCACGGTGGCAGTGGGTTTGGGTTTGGGTAATCTTCACAAGGGAGCCCTTGGGGCGCAGTGGTGAAACAGTTAAGGGCTAACCCAAATGCCGCTGTTAGACCACGGCTTTTCTGGAGAGAGCAAGGGGCCAAGGCTGTTTCTGTAAAGATTACAGCCTGGGAAAGCCTGTGGGTTAGGTTTGCGCTGTCCTGTAGGCTCATGACTCGACAGCCATGGGTTTTTGTGGAGATGGAATCTTCATGGAAGCAGACAGGTTCTTCCTGGACCCGCTGGGGGGTGTAGGAGGAGACCCCTTTTTGTTAGCTGCCGGGTGCATGACTCACATCACCAGGCCTCCTTGAACAAATAGAATTAGCCTTGATCTTAAAATCGCATCTAGTGTGCATACTATTTATAGGAAAACAACTCTGACTATTTGAACATTTGCTGTAGGGATCAGCTCATTAGAGTTTCTACATGGTTGATTAAAAAAAGAATTTACAGTGTTCCAAATTTAATTAAGGCTCTTTGCTGATACCAACACACCAGGACATCTTTTCTCTAAGGAGAACAAAGTGCTGTCTTACAAAAGGATCTTAGCCGTTGCTTGATGCCCAGTCACCAGCTTCCCTTTTAGTAAGGAAGACCCAAGCCCTCCTCACCCCGCCACAGTCTTCCCTGCCCTCTTGCCTCTTGGTCCGCCTGTACATGAGGGGAATCTGGCAAAGAGGCATTCCGACTGCATCCCTCTCCCCCTCACCTGCAAGAGATGTCACCTGAGTCTCAGTGTGCCACCTGGGTTTCTTCTGGGCGGTGATGTTGATCTGATTTATTGGAAAGCACACGTGATGGGGAGGGAAGGGATGGATTCTTGACTTTACAGAGGAGGAATCCTGGGCAGATGGCATACTTTGTTTCTGAGCCTCCTTTGTTTTCTTGAGGGAGAAAACGAGGTGGTCTCTGGAGGGTCTGAAGGAGTGTGTAGCAGGAGGACAGCGCGGAGCTGACCATTCCCTCTCTTGTTGTCTCACATAGATCATGGCCCAGGTAGCGATGTCTACTCTGCCGCCCGCGGAAGACGAGGAGTCGTCGGAAAGCAGGATGGTGGTGACGTTCCTCATGTCTGCCCTCGAGTCCATGGTGAGACGCCGCACATTCCATTCCCTGTGGTTAAGATAGCTTTGCTCGCGTAGAACATCCTTTTGCAGCTTTCAATTTTTGTTTACAATAATTTCTTTTTTTCTTTTCTTTTTGCTTGAAAACGTGTCCTGTTTGGTTTTTGTCTTTCAGATCATGTTTCCAAACTGTTCTTGGCTTAGCTAAATGTTTGCTTTTTTCTTTCTCACATTTAGTCTTAATGATTTACCAATACCTTAGACAATCATTTGCTTTACAGGATCTGTCTATAATATCTGAAAGTCTGCATATCAGAGTGTGGTGCTGGTGTTGACGTCATTGTATCTGCCAAAAGCAAGCCACCAGGGCCTCTGGTAGCCAGGGCGCATGTATTCTGGCTAGCTCGTGCGTCACACTCTGAGGTAGTTAGTTTATTGTGCCAACCTGGCTGATAAACACATGTGGGATTCATTGAAGGGCGGAGGGATAAATGGCTCCGTGAGCCTCACCTTTCTAGTTCTCGGGTCTCTTGCTTTGTGATGGTTGCACCAGGGTGCAGCTGCCTTAGCAGTTCAGCTGGCAAGGCTGACTTCCTGCAAGACATCCCCAAGGAGAAGCCACATGGACCTACCCTGATGCAGCCCTGGGTGCTGGAGCAGCCGTGTGGAGACCCCTGCCAGCACTGAGATGCTTGTTTGTTCACTGACTTGGCTTTCCTCCTGCAGTCTGCATCATTGCCTCTGTTTTGTGAGATGGAGGAGGACTTTGTGGACTGGTGTCGGACATACGGGTTAATGTTGGACTTGTCGGTTTGAGCAGCACTGGGTTGGGATGTTTTCTTGATGCACACTTAACCTTTACATAAAACTCTGTCTTATACATGAGTTGCTGTGGATTTGTTTCTCTAAAGCACCCAGACTCACACACACGCCTTTTGAAGAAAGCATTCTCAGTTGCCTTCACCCTTCCACTTCATAGTAAGTTATGGAGCGTGTAAGCTCGGTATTTTTTTAAAAAAACCCCCACATACACAGTTACAGTGAAACGATAAGTGTCTCTCTTTTTTGCCGCAGTTTTGTATTCTGTGGCATCTATGTGTGAAAGTAATAATAGATTTGATCATCGTGTGTTCGGCTACATATAAAGGAACTCAGTATCTGCGGATACAGACTTAGGGTTATTTGTGGACACGTTAAAGCCAACACCCTCAGCAGGAGGTGTCAGATGATCTGGCGGAGCATCTGGAAGGTTCCGTGGACCCAGAAGAACAAGCCCAGCTGTTCTCCAGACGTTCCATCTCAGTGCTCTGGACACGTTGCCAGCAGGACTGCCGCTGGACAGGGACGCCATGCTGGTAAAGTGGGAGGCAGCGGAGGAAGAGGAAGACTCTCAAGGAGGTGGAAGGGATTGGCACAGTGGCTCAGGCATTACCACTCTGAGGCTGGTGCCGGGTCCGGACAGCGTTTGGTTCTGTTGCACGGGGTCCCTGTGAGCAGACGTCAGCTGTGCGTCTTTCCTGTGTCCAGTGATTGGCCAGTATTCGACACCAGCGTGGCCTTACAGGTCTCAGGATGACATCACCGGTTGTAGACTCTTTTTTTCAGTTCTCCCTGTTAGGGCATCCCCTTCCCCCCCTTCTTCTACTGCCTTAAATCAGTGTTTGAAAAAATGATCTCCTTAAAGAAAAATAATTTAAATGCTTAATGGCTCTAACCTGCTGCTTTCTAAGCATCATTTCATTCTGCCCGGTGACTGAAGCCAGTCAACAGTTGTGGCTGTTAACGCTCACTGAAATGCTAGCAACTCTGCTGAAATTAAGAGTGATTTTTTTTTTTAAATCTCAGTTTTTGGCCCAGGGCGGCAGCCCAGGACCGTTCTGAGACTGAAGCACTCTCTTCCCTAGCAGGCCTGGGCCATGGCAAAGGCCTTTCATTCTTCTCAGCCTTCACCTTCTCCTCCTGCGTTAGGAGTCAGGCCATCTTCTCTCCTGTTCCCAGTCGGTTCTGGACTGATGTGTCCGAAGTGCTATAGGCGCCAAGGGTGGCCGTATCCTTCCCTCCACCCATCGGTGACCTGACCCTTGGATAGGACTTGTCTTGCTCTGGTGACAGGATTATCCAACTCTAAAGGTGGATAGATGGGTCAAATGCTCCTTCCTCATCCCAAGGTAAGTCAAGCATAGCTCTGGACAGCGAGCAGCCACACCCCACCCCACAGCAAGGGAAGTTGCCATTCGTCTGCTGGGACCAGTGGCTGCTTCAGCCCCAGGTCAGCGGTCCTCTCCTGGGTCCACAGAGTCCCGATCACCTCAGTCGGTGTCAAACGATTGAGTTAAGACGGCTTCTTATCCACACTATGATCCAGAAGGCATGTTGACTTAAGAAATTAGAGCGTGGTATTATACTCCTAAACTATAGACGGGAGTCTGGTTTCCAGCAAATGAAAACAGGCTGTTGGGCCACCAAAAAAAAAAAAAAGAGATTGAAATATAGTCTTGCCTCATGTGTCAAGTGCAATTCTAGATGAAAAGAAGACAAATTTCCACTTAAGATGATTTTTTCAAGCCAAGATGGGCACTCTTAGGTACCATACTGCCCTATATAAACTCACTGTCATCGAGTCTACTCGGATCCCAATGACCTCATAGGGCAGAGTGGCACTGCTCCTGTGGGAATCTCTCCAGGCAGAGGAAGCCTCGTCTTTCTCCTACGATGCGGCTGTTGGTTTCGAACTGCTTGTGGTGAGAGTCCAGGGTGTGTAACCCACTACGCCACCAGGACGTCTGTTCTGTCATGCACAGGGTCGCAGTGTGTCTGAACCTGCTCCCGTGGCACTTTACCACAGTAACGTATCTTAACAGTTTAAAAATAAATTAGAGCAACTCAATTTATAGCAGACACGTTGACATTGGAACATTTTCCTCAGGTTTAACTCATCGGCATTAATCACCAGCATTATGTTGCTGCAGTCGTCACCACTATCCACTTCCAAATTTACTCGTCCCCACGGACGGACGCACTCAGTTCCTCACCCTCTGCCCATCCTCTCACCCCATTACCTCTGCTCTTACGTCTGTGCCCACTCGAGATTCTTATTCCCAGTGGGATCCTGAAATGTTTATCTTTCTGTGGCTGACTGATTTCACTCCGTCAGTGAAACACTAGCACTTTTTCTGTACTGAAAATCAATGTGCGCTTACGGCTAAATAGGGAAATAGTAACAGGGAAAAATGGGCCCCCGGATACGACAGAAAAGAATGTACCAACACTCTGTAATTTTAGTATGGAGTGAGTTATTGATTAAGCACCTCCCCCAATTAAAAATTCTTCCAAAATGCACACACCGTAACATTGACCATTTTAACCATTTCCAAGTGTCCAGTGTCATGGCATTTAACCGCCTTCACAATGTTATGCTACCATTTCGCGCTTTATTTCCAGAACCTCTCATCACTCCAAGCAGAAATGTCATACTCATGAAATAGTAACTCCCCATTCTCCTCTCCCTCAGCCCCACCCCACCCATGCTATGTGCTGACCTACTCTCTTGTCTTTGAATTTACCTCTTGTACATTTTTTTTAACAAAAGTAGAATCATGCAGTCCTTATCCTTCTGTGTCAGATTTAATTCACTCTGCACAATAGTTCCCAGGTTTATCCATTTGATAAGATGTATCATCAGGACCCCATGTACCTTTGTGGTTGAGTGGTATCTCATTCTATGTATCTGTCACATCCGCACCCCCTTTCTTTTTAATGTAGTCATCGTTCGGTGGCCCCTTTAGCTACTGTGAAGGGTGCTGCTTTGAGCGCAGGAGCACCAGTGTCAGGTGCACTCCTGTTCTCTGACCTCTTGGGTATTCGGATGACTTTCCCAAAGAAACATATGTTAGAAACCGTGAGTTAGCTCTCCGTACAGCGCAGGTGGAAATGTAAGCTGATCGAGTTTCCTTAGAAAAACGCTGGAAAGTATTTATGTCTTTGAATCAGTTATGGCACGTCTCTGACGCTGTTCTGAGAAATTCATTCCAGATGCATTTAAATTTCATTCCCAGGTTATTAGGGCAGCGTTCTCTTGAGGAAGGGTACTTGGACTGGCCAACACTGGCAATTGTGATGAAAAGATACAGGAATGACTTTACATCCGCAGAACGGAAAGAGAAGGCACGCCTGGGCGTCCTCCAAACGGAACTTGCCTCCACACGTCTCTGCAATCCGCGGGGCTGCAGACACGCTCGCTCAGCAGCACAGCAGCGCCGTCTCCCTCCGCAGCCTGCAAACAAAGGCAAGCTCAGTCAAACACCGGCTTCCCGGAGACCTGCTGCTGGCCGGTGAAATCTAAGACAGAAAGATGAGCTCAGAAGGTTATGTCAACTTTCCATGAGATTCCAAAGGGTCGTTGGGATGGACTTTTGTGGAAGGACACAGGGATGACCATGGGGACTTTCTCTGAAGACATTTTAAGAAAACAACACTATACCGATGAGCAAAAGGCCAGGACACTTGGACCAAGGACAGTGTTTCCATCAAGGCCATGTACCTACCTGCGCATTCCTTGAAGGGCATCTAAGGCCGTTCTGTGAGAATTTCTTTGGGAAACCTTTACCACATCCGTATTCCAACACAGATCTTGTCCCGCCAGACTTACACCCACCCCCCACCCCCTCAGGAGGCACCTCTGACGGAGCTGCTTCCCATCCTGTGCCCATCCTGCTCCCTCCCGGCTCAGTGACCACGAGACCTCCTTGGCAATACGGAATCTGAACCTTGGGGAATTAGCCCGATAAAAGATGGCAAAGGGTTTCTGCCCTCCTACTGAGAAATTATTTCCTCCTGTTTAAAATCAAGGGCAAAGATGAATCTAGGACAATGAGTGTGTTTCTGAAAAACGGAGACTCTCGGCTGCCCCTCTGTCTGTCCTCACCTTGGGCATCAGCGGAAAGTAGGACAAGTCAAGGGTTAGATTTGCAATCCGTGCAGGGGAAAATGGGGCGGGTAAAGCTCTGTCTAAACCGTGGTGCTTTCTGTTTGTTTTTTAGTGTAAAGAGCTGGCCAAGTCCAAGGCCGAAGTGGCCTGCATCGCAGTGTACGAAACAGACGTGTTCGTAGTCGGGACGGAGCGAGGCCGCGCTTTCGTCAACACCAGGAAGGATTTTCAGAAAGATTTCGTGAAATACTGTACGCCTTTTATTTATATTTGTATTGTTTTTTTCTCACATAAATACTTAACCTGATGTGTCATAGTTTCTTTTAAGCCAGCAAAGATTCATGCTAAGGATACTTTCGGAAATGCCCTGGGAGGTAATTTTGAAATGTGAAAAGTGATTTGCGGAAGTAATACTCTCCCTTGATACTTTCTCAAAAAGAAACAAAGCTCACTGACATCCAGTCAATCCTGACTCTTAGCACTCTACGGGACAGGATAGGAAGCCCCTTTGGGCTTCCCAGGCAGTAAATCCTTTTGGGAGCAGAAAGCCTCCTCTTTGTCCCGAGGAGCAGCTGGTGGGTTTGAAATGCTGTCCTCGTGTCCAGCAGCCCAACGTGTAAACCCTTATGTATGCCACCAGGGCTCTTTGCAATGACACGCTAAGACAGCGGTTCTCAACCTGTGGGTCGCGACCCCTTGGGGGGAGGGGATGTCGAACAACGCTTTCACAGGGGTCGCCTAATACATCCTGCATATCAGATATTTACATGACGATTCATAACAATAGCAAAATTACAGTTATGAAGCAAAGAAAATCATTTGATGGTTAGGGGTCACCACCACATGAGGAACTGTATGACAGGGTCGCGGCATGAGGAAGGTTGAGAACCAATGCTCGAGAGTAAATACTAAAGAAGTTCAGAACAGCTGAAACCCTTACTGTCCCTTACCCCGTGCGTGATGTTACGCTACACTGGCAGGAAGCATCAGTGAGAAGGCGGAGAATCAGGACTGATGAAATCGTGTTATCCAGGTACGCCTTCCCCTGCCTGACGATGGACAACAGGTACTTTGTGCAGGTGCGTTAGAGAAGCATTATGCAAGGTTAAATAGGTCCCCCTCCATCAGTGAAACCGACTTTTCCCAATTCTTCAGGAATCTCAGGGTCTTCCAACTGGGAGATTTAGGGAGTTTATTTGGCCTTTGAACAAAGGCAGTAGAAAAAATTTATGTGGGATTTTTCAGTTTGTTTTAAACTGGAAGCTGTCTACAAGTCTTGTTCTAAGTAGTGCCTCAATGAGACAGCATTTTCTTGGACACGGAAAGAAAACAAAATGGAAAAAAAAAAAAGAAAACAAAATGGACAGGAGTATTTATAGGCCAAGAAGACCTTGGTGTCTAAGATCCAAGAGGAAATTTCCATTCTCGTTAGAATCAGTTCATGCTCATTTGGGTGAATAAAAGGTTTTGCTAATCCATTAATTTCAAATAGTATTTTTAATCCTTACTTTAAAAAAAATTCCCTCCCCACCTGTTTCTTATCCACCCATCTCTATAGTCCTTTAAACTTTGTAATAGAAAATCAACATTTACCCATGTTTTTTTTTTTAATTTTACGGTTGTGGTTATATTTCTATATTTTCGTTTGTTCCATTTTATTTCAGTTATGTGTGTATCAACTGCCATCTGTCCTTTGAGTACCGTATTCCCATCCATGCTTATGTTCTTTGCCTCCTGGACACTCATGTTGGGTGATTTCCCAGGTTGGAGTTCAGCCTGAGGGGAATTTGGTACATTTGGAAGGGAAGAGTCTTGCCCTATTGGCATTCATCTTTTTATTTTCTTTCATGACCAAAAACATCATGCTTAAAAGAATGGTGTTTGGATATGTCTCAGGTCTCTTTCGTTTTATTGTGCTTACGGGGAAAGCAGGAAAGCGTACACAGCAACCCTGATTCCCATTTGATCCGTTTCCATGCAGGTATTCAGTGATGTCGGTCACCTTTTTTTACAATGTGCCTTTGTCTTCATTTGCTACATTCTGGTTCTACTCTTTCCAGGACTCTGCTTTCCCCGCCCTTCCCTTCTCATCTTCACTGTGCAGTCCGTTCTGACCATCTGGTCTCATCTAAGTGGTTTGTAAGCGGGCACATCACCCATGGGTGAAATACCGCATTTTATGGGCCAGCCTCTTATTTAGCTCAAAGGTGACCTCAAGGGATCGTTTTAGTGTATATTTTAAAGAGTCTCAGAATGACACTCTATATAGGCTGCCTTTCCCACCCCCAAAAATAATAGCTTCCTCTTCTGCAAAGGGCCCTGGGGGAACTGGGGTTCAGTGCACAGCTGCCCGAAAACTGGCTGCTGCTGGAGGAGCAGGTACACTCTGTTCTCGGGGCCTCTTGAGTAGGCATCAGTCATACGTGATCAGGTTTGGGGTACTTTTCTGAGAGTGCTGTGTTACCCCCCACCCCCGTTCATCTTTGGTAACTGCCAGGGAGCACTGGTTTCTGTAAATTCATCTCTTGTCCTCTTACAAAGGCACAGTCACACAATATTGGTCCTTTGGTGGGATGGACTTCCTGCAGTTAGCATAATGTGCTTCAGCTTCATCCACAGTCTAGGCTGTTTAGAGGACTCTTGATGCCTTCATGACAGCGTGGTGTTCCACGGGGCCGTCCTTCCCCCTTTTGCTCTCCCCTCACCTGTTGTTGGGCCCTCAGGTTGCTTCGGTGAGTGAGGTGTTTCAACGTCTGCCCAGGCTTCTCTTAGGAGAGCGTTGGGTACATATCTCAGAGTGGGGCTGTCGAGCCAATGGTGTCTACGTTCCTACCATTTAGCAGAAGCGCCACCATGCTCCCCGCAGTGGCTGTACCATTGTGGAACCCTGCTAGCCATGAAGACGGGTGCCGGTCTCCCCACGTCCTCACCAGCCCTTTTCAGTCCTTTGCTTCTGAAACCAGTGCCATTTCTGCAGGGGTTAGGTGGTATTTCTTTTCATTTAAATTTTATTAATTTACATACACGCCAGTTTAATAGTTTGTACACGTATGAGTTAGTGACATTGATTACATTCTTCGACTTGTGTAATCATTTTTACTTATTTTATGAGGTAGTTGTGGGGTTTTTTTGTTACGGTTTTGCTCAGCTGTTTTTTAAAAATCATTTTATTGGGTGCTCATACAACTCATCACAATCCATACACAGTTCCATTGTGTTTTATGGGTTTTTAATGAGTTGTTCCTCTGTGGTTCCTGTCTCTCTGGAGTGCCACTTGGTCCCGTAAAGATAGGAGCTGCATGCCCCAGGCAGACCCTTTTATTAGGTCAGTTGTCAACTCTTGTTGGAGGATGATGTCAGGAGAGAGCTTTGGTTTCAGATTCTCAGGGCGATAATTTGGGGAGTTCCCTTCAGGCTCCTGAAAGTTTGGAGTCTGTGAGCATTTGGAATTCTACTAATGATTTCCCCCCTTTGATTAGGAATCTTCTTTAGAATCTTTGCTCAAAACGTTCAGTAATGATAGTCAAGCACCGTCTAATTAATCAGTTCTCATAGCAAAGTCGGCAGTTGCTCATGCAATCAATTAGCTACCCCTTCTGTATGCCCTTGTGGTTGCCTCTAGTCTGTGGCTCCAGGTGAATAGAGACAGGTGAATAGAGACCTTGGGTGGTTGCTTGCGAGCCTTTACTATGACCCCAGGCTCTATCAACAGAGTAGGCCCTAGAACAGAAACACTAACTGATTGATTAGGCAATTAGCGACCCCGGACTTCCAAACCAAAGACCCAAATCCTAGAGGAGTTGGGTTGTACACAGCAGTTTCAGCAACTACTCTTTGTTGTTGTTTTTAGGCATTTTATTGTGAATGGGGTTCACCGAGCAGATCTGTTTTCCATCCAGCAATCAGTACGCAGTTTGCTTCCTGTCACTGACTCCTTAGCCGGCTTCCCCTGATACCTGTCTCCACTCCTCTCCTATCCTAACCCTCCTTGACTGTGTCGTTATGGAAAGCCTGCTCTTTGATCTCAAAAGGTTGATTGATTATTTGCAGGTATTTGGCAGAATATTGAGCCTCGGGGTGAATGCAGTTCTAGACTTGAAGGGAGGCTGAGGGTCACATGCTTGGGGGTAGGGTTCCCACCAGTCAGTCTTTAGCAGACCAGAAAACCATTAAAAAAAAAAAAATGATTTGAGTTTTCTGCTTTTCTCTCTCACTCTCACCAGGACCTCTTAACATGCTCCGTTAGAGAACGGTTGATCGTGGTAGCTATTGGACTCTTGTTGGATCTACAGTTTCTGAAGTCCCTCTCCCAGTCCGTAGCTTGTCTTTTCAGTCTTTTTGTAAATAAGCATTTTTAATTGTTATAAGGTGCCATTTAGAATGTTCAATCTTTTCTGTGTATGCCTTGGTTATGACATTGTTGAAAGCTGGGCTTAAGCATGGGCGTTTTGCTCTGCAGCGCTTTCTGGCCGCTAAAGAAGGAGCCCTGGTGGTGCCCCAGTCAGAGCGCGGGCATCCAAAGGGGGGGCTGGCAGTTGGAACCCACCTGGCCCTTGATGGGAGGCAGATGGAGTCGTCTGTTTAAGTAACAGTTGATAGGCTGGGGGACCCCAGGGTGCAGCCCTGCTCTGTCCTCAGTGGGGGCCCTGAACTGGAATGGACTTCAGGACAGTGGCTCGCAGGCATCTCTGCGCTGACTGGGCTGCTTGGATGTCCCTTCGGGGAAGCGTCTCCTCCCCACTCCTCACTCGAGTGTTCAATTGGATTCTCTTTGTTGTGGGGCTTTGGGAGCCTCTCCGTGTGTTAGAGATTGCCCCCTTTCAGATATCTGTCTGTTTACTCTCTTTTGATAAGTTATTTTGCTGAGTTATAAGTATTTCAGTTTTAAGAGATCTCAGTTACCTAATTTGTCATCTTTTCTTTGTGCATGTATGGTTGTATTTAATAATCTGTTTTATAAACTGAGATCGTGTAGATTTGGCCCTCTTCTAGGGAATTTACCTCTTTAGCTCTAATAGTTAGGCCCTTGACCCACTTTGAGTAGTTAATGTGTATGGTGTGAGGTGTGCATCCTGCTGTACTTGTTTGTTTTTGCAAAGAAAGGAAATCGAGTTGGTGCTTTGCCAGCAGCATGAAAGAGCCTTCTTGTAGGAAGCCAGCTTCGTGTAGATAGACGGAACGACCTCCGGGTTTTCACTTGTTTCCTTGGTCTGTGTATCTGTCAATGGACCCGTCGCCTGCTGTGGCTGAATAATGGACGTTGGGACCTCCCACTTGGTTCTCCATGTTGCGTTGGCTGTTCAGTGCCATGCCTGCAAGTCGTCCATATACGAGAACCAAACTGTTAGTGAGCGCTGCTGGTCTTTGTACACAGTCCTGAGACTCCATTGTGCATTGTACACACAGCCACTTGCCCAAATTGGGACTGCTCACCTTTTAAGAATGTCTGCTATTTCTCAACAGACTTTCCATTTTTAGGTTTATATAAAATGCGCATAGACAAAACAGAGCTGACATTTGCCTCTTCTGCTCAGTTTCCTGTTTTAAAGTGTGTGTGTGTGTGTGTGTGTGTGTGTGTGTGTGTGTGACAGAGAGAGAGAGAGAGAGAGAGATTTGGGTGAAAGCTTAAAGAGCAAGTCTGCTCTTTTACTCAACGATTTGGACTTGTGACACTGGTGGCAACCCTCACAGTGCAACAACACTTCCTGCTTCCTCCCAGGGTCTACTGTCCCCCTTGGTCCTTGTGTTTTGGGTTTTGTTTGCCTTTTCTCCCCCTCTTTCAGGGTGGCCAGTGGGGGGTGGGCACCACCGAGTTCTTGTCTCGGGGTCTTTGAGGCTGTCTGTGGTCGTGGGGATTCATTTGTCCCTCGGACTGTTCTTTGAAGAGAATAATCCTTGGATGTTTCTTTTTCTTCACTCTGTATTTTTTTCGTCACCCTTCTTTGCTGCAGAGAGGAGGAGACCAGTGGTTGACCTCAGATGTCTCCCCACTTGCACAGCTTCTCCTGTGACTGCTGTGTGCGTCTGTGCTCCCGTTAGTCAGTTGATGAGATACTATTGATACATCTTTACTGGTTTCGGCACATGCGTGTCACATGTCCCTGTCACCCGTGGTCTCCGCCTAGTCCTGCCCCTGAAAAGTATTCCGTGTTGACTGCGTTCTCATTCTTCAGCTTGTAGCTAACACATTCCTTTTAGTTATTTAAGACAAAAACGTAAAGGCAGCGTTGGCTGATTGGTACTTTTAGTTATCACTCCTCATATTTCAGCCGTGACCCTCATTTCCTAATACAGCCACCGGGTTTCTGTCTTTTAGGTTTTGTTGTAAAATCGCCACCCTCATCTCTACCCTTCCATTGTTTGAGAACACATTTCAGATAGTGGAAGCCATCCAGAACCAACTCCCTGCCAGCTAGTCGATTCCTACTCATAGTGCCCAGTAGGACAGGGTAAAACTGACCCTGGGGATTTCTTTATGGGAGAAGAAAGCTTCGTCTTTCTCCCGCTGAGTGGCTGGTGGTTTTGAACTGCTGACGTTGCGATGAACAGATAACACAGAACCACGGCGCCACCAGGGCTCCTACTCCTCTAAAAGGCCAAAGATGATGATGGTTGATGTCAAGAATACTGTTAATTAAGATACCAGTTAATTCACATATTGAGAAAGTTTTAATGCCTACATTAATAGTTGTTTTTACAGCTACATTCTTAATGCTTTACCAGGTGTTGAGGAAGAAGAAAAGGCTGCAGAGATGAATAAAATGAAATCTACCACCCAGGCCAACCGCATGAGTGTAGATGCTGTAGAGATCGAAACGCTCAGGAAAACCGTGGAGGACTACTTCTGCTTTTGCTACGGTACGATGCTGTGCTCGCACCAGACCCACTGCCCAGATCCAGCCGATTGCAGCTCACAGCAACCTCCTCTCCCTGCCGCTTTCTCCCGCCCCCCAGGGAAAGCTCTCGGCAAGCCCACAGTGGTGCCTGTTCCCTATGAGAAGATGCTGCGGGACCAGTCGGCCGTGGTCGTGCAGGGCCTCCCTGAGGGCGTGGCCTTTAAGCACCCGGAGCACTATGATCTGGCGACCCTGAAGTGGATCCTGGAGAACAAAGCTGGGATTTCCTTCATCATTAAGAGGTAGTTACTTTATCCCTTCCCACCACCAGCAGTCTTTCACGTGAACTTGAACAGTGAGCATATTGTTTGTGTATGTTTAGGTTCTTGTTTACATGTAAAAGTCACTTAATTGATGTCTGTTTAATTTTGTTTTCTATATTCTTACATATTTGCATTTGTTTTCATACAGACCTTTCCTAGAGCCAAAAAAGCATCTAGGTAAGTTATTGTTTTGTTTACATGAGACCTGGCTTGCTTCTGAAACCCATTTTGTTAGATTTAAATTCTTTTTCTTTTTTTTGGTGATGGAAACAAGTCTTTATTAAGTAACCTTTAATAGCAGAAAAACAAGACTCTTATATTTCTCTTTGCAGCAAGTATGTAATGTCAGTGCTTTTGTCCCTTTATTGTAAAACACATGGTTTTCAAACTTTACTCAAATTGAATTTATGACTTCCCTACATCAACAGAACAAGAGTGCAGTAAAAGCGATTGCTAAAGTACATTACTAATTTAGCATTCTTAAATCTGTGGTTTTTAGAAAGGTACATGCACCTAATGTATGTCAATTCCTTGGCTTATAGTTGGCAGTGTACAAGTTTAAAATACATTTTAACGGTTCCTCTTTCTTTTTGAGAAAAGTATACATTTGGCGCCTCTGGTCTGGATGTTTTTGTAAATCATTGAAAGCTTTATTGAGCTGAGAAAGTGGAGATTCAGTTTTGTTTCTAGCTCTGCACCTCGCTATAAGATATACTTGAGGTAGTCCTCCCTCCATGCAAGAGCACTTTGTTCTATTAAACTGGCATTCCGTGATGCTCACCTTCCTGACACGATCACTGAAGACAAAGCGGGTGCATAAGCAAATGTGGTGAAGAAAGCTGATGGTGCCCGTCTATCAAAA